TAATAGTCGCTCGATGACGGTCAGGTGACACCATTTGTTCATGTCGCGCTTCTCTGGGAAAGGGGTTAGTTCCGAGGAATTTTATCCCCTTTACCCCGTTTATCCTAACAGTCGCTGGATGACGGTCAGGTGATACCTGTCGTTCATGTTGCTCCTTTCAGGGAAAGGGATCAGTTCGGACGAATTTTATTCATCACACTCCATTATACTAACAGTCTCTGGAAGACGGTCAGGTTACAACTGTCGTTCATGTCGCTCCTTTCCGGGTGAGGGATCAGTTCCGAGGAATTTCATCACCCATTACCCCGTTTATGCTAACAGTCGCTGGAAAACTGTCAGGTGACACCTGTCATTCATGTCACTCCTCTCCGAGAAAAGAATCAGTTCTGATGAATTTTAACCCCTTTACCCCGTTTATGCTAACACAGACTGGAAGACGGTCAGGTGACACTTTTCGTTCATGTCGCTTTTTTTCCCGGCAAGGGATCAGTTCCGAGGAATTTTATCCCTTTTACCCCGTTTATGCTAGCAGTCGCTGGACGACGGTCAGGTGACACCTTTTCTTCATATCGCACCTCTCTGGGAAAAGGATTATTTCCGAGAAATTTTATCCCCTTTACCCCGTTTATCTTAACAGTTTCTGAATGACGGTCAGGTAATACTTGTCGTTTGTCGTCCCTTTCAGGGACAGGGATGTTCGAATTTTATCCCCCCGTTTATTAACAGTCACTGGGACGGTCAGGGATCATGTTCCTTTTCGGGCGAGGGATCAGTTCCGAGGAATTTTTATCCCGTTTATACTAACAGTCGCTGTAAGACGGTCAGGTGACACCTGTCGTTCATGTCGTCCTTCCGGAAAAGGATCAGTTCCGAGGAAATTTATCCCATTTACCTCGTTTATACTATCAGTCACTGGATGACAGTCGGTGACACCTGGTACATGTGCACCTTTGAAATTTTATCCCCATTCTCCGTTTATACTAACAGTCCTGGATTCCGGGTCGTTCATGTCGCTCCTTTCGGGAATGGTATCAGTTCCGAGGAATTTTATCCCCTATACTCCGTTTATACTAACAGTCTGTAAGACGGTGGATGACACCTGTCAGGTCCTCTCGGGAAAGGATCAGTTCCGAGGAAATTTATCCCATTTACCTCGTTTATACTATCAGTCGCTGGATGACAGTCAGGTGACACCTGTCGTACATGTCGCTCCTTTCCAGGCGAGAAATTTTATCCCCCATTCTCCGTTTATACTAACAGTCGCTGGATGACGGTCAGGTGACACCTGTCGTTCATGTCGCTCCTTTCCGGGAATGGTATCAGTTTCGAGGAATTTTATCCCCTATACTCCGTTTATACTAACAGTCACTGGAAGACGGTCAGGTTACACCTGTCGTACATGTCGCTTCTTTCCGGGCGAGGTATTAGTTCCGAGAAATTTTATCCCTTTTACCCCGTTTATGCTAACAGTCGCTGGATGACGGTCAGGTGAAACTTGTTGTACATGTCACTACTTTCCGGGAAAGGGATCAGTTCCGACGAATTTTGTTCCCTGTACTCCATGTTTTTGCGAATCGAGTTTTAGTGACCCATTTGGATGAAAAGTAAGACCTAACAATGCGTGGAAGTGCTATCGATGAGTCAGCAGCCATCTAATTAGAGGTGGTCTCAATAAACCATTCAGCAGAAGACAAATTCATAATACGTACGCTAAAATATCTTAATTCTCTGGCATAAGTCTGTTCACATCAGAAGTCACCAGTGGAGTTAAGTGGTAGGATAATTATTTTATCGGAAACTTAGGAAACAAAAACAACTGACTCAAGTGTTTAAAGTAAATAATATATTTTTATTATTTTCACAAATAAATAGGCTCTGATCTTGCAAACTTCCAGTGTTTTGACCGGGTTCAATCTTTTTTTCTTCTTTCTCTTTTTATTTGAAGGTTGATTTCTCATAGGTTGAGAAAAGTATAGAAAGAGAAGTTGAAAGAGAGTGAGAGAGATAAGAGTTTTGAAGGAAATTAAAGGTTTGCTGCTGTTGGTAATGTTTGGTACAAGGCTGAATTGGGAGGCTTCACTTCCGCAGATAATCACGTGGGGTGTATCACAGCCGGTGGCTGGGACGAACTCTCTGTCGTTTCAACTCTGTCTTCTATTCCGACTGGCGAATTCGCTTCGCGCATTCGTATTTATGGACATCATTTTGAGGAATTCCCTTCTCCTAATCTCTCATATCAAATATCTCTCAATAGACTTACTCAGTGAGCTTATCCACCCCCCTCCTGTCTTGAATCAACTTCAACCAGGAGAATCAACCCCGAATTCGTTGTTTAGTTTCATTTTCGCTCTACATCTTGCATCTGCAGCTGTATGTCAATCAAGATTGCCCCTGAAGTCTGGGTCACTTTTTTATTGTTCAAACTGCTCAACATACATTTCAAGTCGTTTATGTGTGAATTAAATTCTCACTTCTTCCCAAGGGGTTTTGGTACTAACCCTTCTCTTTTCAATGTCTCTTAGCATATAGCACTTTCTTATGTTGTAACAAAATTTTCTTCCGTTTTACCGCGGCAATGACAAATAGTATCACACACACAACTGTCTTATTTTAATTTTAATTAATTTTATTTTTGTCACTATATTTTATATTTATCGGGATTCATTAAAATTCTATGTTAATTAAAAAAAAGACTTCAACTTTGGGCTTTGTACAGTTAATAAATTCAAAAACTCAAGTTATTTTCGTCCGTGTATCACTGTGCCAAAGAATTATAAATCCCCAATATATGTTTTCTTAATATAAAATATGTCTTTTTATCTTTTAAAAAAATTAACGTCTTTCCAATTTCTCTGATCGATATCAAAGAAATTTCTATGCAGATGATAGCATAGAGTATGTGTGCACTTCCTGAAATCTAGATGACCAGAACCTGGTGGCCAATCTCTGACCTCACCTCTAATAGGCCAATGGGGGAAAACTGGCTTGTAGCTTTCAATTATTCATAACTAAACCAGTAGCTTTTCATTATCACAGAGATGATCCTAAGTTCTTACCAGGCATTACACATGATTGTTCTCTTCATATGGCTTCTTGCCTTGGCATCTACTTGAACTCATGCTGAGCCCAGACCTCAAGTGGGTCTCATATATGCGATACAGGCTGGAAAAACGGTCGGCTCCATATAACACTCCAGGAAGTCCCTGGTCCTATGCTATATCTTTTCGAGAGTCAGTTCAGACAAAAAATGGAGTATCGATGCTATATATGGACCCGAGCTGCTAATCCTCTTTCCAAACTTGGCACTGTTCAAAGGCATTTACACGGTCTTGCAGGCGATGAATCATCTTCCATTCTACAACCCCAACCACAGACGCAAGGTCGCAATCCTCTTGCTATGGAAATTCCATAAAGCCACCACAGCTCCGACATTTACAGCTAAGACCCGCCAAGCTATATGCAAAAAAGTCGAAAATCATCAACCCCATTGATAAGAAGGACGTTCTATTCGGACATCTTCTTCCGAAGAGCCGTTATTTATGGAATAGACTCCCGAGTGAATGCTTTCTCGAACACTAAGAACTTAAACAGTCGTAGGTATCCTCATAAAATTCCACTTATTTTCCCTTTCCCCACCCTCAGTCTATACTATAACACCCTTTGGTAACCCTCTATTTTTAGTAACCCTCTATTTTTAGTAACCCTCTATTTTTGTGTGTCTCTTGAGCATTGAACTTGGTAAATATTGTTTACATTTTCATTTCTACGCGTGTTGTTTGCAGTCGTGTCCAAGAATTATAATGTCTTCTTAATCAACCGGTAAAAGTCCTTTGTTGGGCGCAGGCCTCCCCCAAATCTTTTCGTTTACGGTTCTCGAAGAGGAACCGGCCTTTACCCTGCACCATGTGTCTAGTGCGCGTTTATAGGGACTTGCAACACGTAGTACTATTCCCAAGCGGGCACAGTCTAGGTACTGACCAGGCTCAACGTTGCATAACATCGGGGATCGGACGAAAACGTTGTTTAACGTGATAAAGTAAACCGTAAGATCAACAGTAATTAAATACAGTGTAACCCGGATATAAGAGAGTTGTCGGGACCGGAGAAGAAGTCTCTTATATCCGGGTTTGGTCTATTTTGTTTAGGTAAGTATTGGAACGCTTTGGGACCAGAGAAAATCTCTCTTATATCCGGGTTACACTGTATATGAAAGTTAAAACTGTACTGTAGAAGTCAGTATTCGATTGTACAATGGAATTCGTTTACAATATCTGTCTATACTTCTGAGAGGAGGTTTTATGTATTTTGCTTTTTGGTGTCCTTGAAGCCTTACCTTATAGGGAGCGACCTGTCTCCCCTTTATATTTCTTTCCGCAGGTACACGGGAATGCGTACACACGTCTTTAGTCATGTTCTCCTTTGTAACAACTAACCTGGGTACATGGCAGCAACCCAAATAAACTGGGATTGGCGGGTACAAGAGGAGGACAACAAACAGTCTGCCTGCCTGTGAAGGGGTTATCGGAGAAAATACAAACATCCATTAGACATAGCACGTGAGACTAGAACAGTCTACCCAGCGAGCAAAATAAAGGGTTCAGTTCGACATTCCATCACCTGAAGAAGGCCGGAGCGTACAACGACCGAAACGTTGTGATAAATATGGCAACAAAGATGAGGACAATAATCCGAATGATGTAAATAGTGCTTTACAATATGTTTATGATAAAAATAAAAATGCATCACTTATTAAAAAAACTGATTACAACTGAAATGCATTTATTTTAAAACTTGGTAAGAAATATATGAGAAATTAAAAATATAAGATGAAATATTAACTTTAGTTATAATGACTGCGTGTTTAATGTAATTTGTATCCCAGAAGCATGAGTTTGATACAGTGTTGATGATCATGTCCCACTTGTATCCAATTGTGTCATTAATCTGTCTTTTTCAGTCAATGTGTGTTTTTGTTTGTTTGTTTTGTCACGTGCAATAATTCAGTGAATCATTTCAGTTTTTCCATAGTAAATCAACCGTGCAATTTGACCGTATGTGCTGTTCAGCTTTTTGATGTGTTCTGGGTCGGATTTTTTAATTTTCTGAAGACGGATATAAAGATGCAGACCATACCTGTCAAGAAAAAAGTTTATAATGAACGCAAAAGAAAAAAAAAGAAAAGAAAAGAAAAAAAAGAAGAAGAAGGAAAAAAAGAAAGAAAAAAAAAAGAAAAGAAAAATGTTTGCCGTATATACTCGTGTATAAGTCGACTTCATGTATACTGCAATCACTGAATTTTTTGTTGAAAACACTTATTTTTCCAAATACCTTTTTTCCTTTTCTATTTTTAATCGGAATCACCCCACGCAAGTCAGTAAAGCCACTAAGACACAAGGAGTTACTAGGGTGTGGATGAATTAGGAACAGAAAACATTAATACTGAGCGGGAAGGGAAAGAAGTAATCAGGAGGACAGTAGATATCGATTGACATTGCATTCAAATTTAGCAGATTAAAGTTGGATTAAAAGCATGGAGCCGGAAGCGAGTTCAACGAGCGAAAAGTGTGAGAAAAGAAACTGTTAGTATAGAATTTACGGTTACATCGAGCCAATTCAACTGTAAATTGATGAGATCTCGACGCCAGTTGAGTACTGCGCTTAAATACAGAAAGTCTAGGTATCGTAGCAAAGAGCTTATCCAAACAATTACAATTAAAGTATTTAGAGAAAAGACTTAGAGAAGCAATCTTACGGCGGTATGAAAATGATTGAAGCTGAGATGCCAGATCAGGACCAATAATATTACTGATTTTTCTTTGGATTTTATCAAAGAACTCAAGGTAAATAGCAGGGACACCGGGCCATATGTAGCAGTAATATTCTAAGCATTTACGAATATATAGATATGTAAGATAGACTCGGGAGAGAAACATTGTCTCGACCCAGTGAACCAACTTTCTTAGCAGAAGGCCTAGCAACGAATTCAATATAGGCTTCCCACTTCACCCCTTGTCAGCCGAGAATGTTAGCCCGCGAAGACACGACGAGATTTCCTGGAGGTTAGCATCTGAGGTTAAATCTGCCCCCCACAGCATGCCTCATTAAATAATATAGACATATTATGTCTACTTATTTTTTATAATAATCCTTTCTTAGCTTCTCGATGGAAGGCGCCGTAGTTTTTGTTAACCCAAGTACTTTCGATCTCCTCCGAGATCATCCTTAGGGGTGAATCGCGAAATTTGTCTAATAATAATATGTCCATATTATTCAATAATAAATGTGTGTGTGTGTGTGTGTGTGTGTGTGCAGAGAGAGAGAGTAAAAAAAAGGTTGAGAAGAATTGGAATGGGAAAGAGAATCTGTAACCACAAAGATTAAAACTATCACCATAGCATAAAAGTGTGGTTAATTTTTTTAAATATTTTGATTTTTACACTCACGTAATTCTTAGTACATCCCAGTTTTGTTCAATAATAATTTTCTTTGAATATCGATAATCAAATCTTACCTGCAACCATTATAGTTATTTATATTTATCCACACTTGCATACATACAGTCTTACACACATTTATGCCAACTATATACACAGTAGGAGCCACATAAAAAGAAAGTCTTGAAAATTACCGTTGGGACCAACCGGCTACTTTGTCGAAGAAATCATGTACTTTTCCTGAGAAGCCGGCAAAGGCGAATAAACGTTCCACATGTATAAGTTCAGGTATAATTCTACTGAGTTTGTAAGGCATGTATTGGGAATTTTTTGCCCAACTTTTGTCTTCGAAAGTTTCGTATGTCCAGTACCAAATTTTGAGAAACGTAGAATTCTTGCTAGCAATAATTACTTGAACCCCCAACGCATCAAGGCGACAAGGACCCAAGGTTATGGGATAAACTCTCAGAGGATCGAAACTTTTCAGTGCGAGTTCATCGGTGTCCATATAAATTCCACCAAATTCTGCAAAAACAATTTAATCATTTTTAGGATTCTTTACAACCTATAATTGTTTTCTCATTATAATATTCATTATAGAACCAATAACTCTGTAATTAGCAGTTATTAGACCTAGAGTTATCTCCCTGGAACGGACATTTTTGTCAATTTATTCTCTATTAATTTAAAAGAAAAATACTTGGAAGCCGATGACTCAGTTCAAGTAAAAATTGCATTGTTCTACAAGAGACCAGATTTACATTCCATATTTTGCATATATAAACACAAAAAGAAAAGTTTAAATTAGGACCAGGCCAATAAAAACGTTATATCAAAAGGACGTTTTTTTGTTTTGTTTTGGGTTTGTTTTTTTGTTTTTTTGTGGGGGGTGACTTGATACCACCATAACTGTATAAGCTCTCGATAACTTATTGTTTTTAGCTGTTTTAATAATTTTAATAAAAACAACATATGAAACTAAATTTATACATTATTTTTTTAATTATATTTTAATTGTTGATTTTGTTTTAGTCTTGTTCATTTTTTAATAATTTTAATTGTAATTATAGTTTTAAAAGGTATTTTAAGTATTTTAATAAAAGCATTGCATGTTAAACATTTTTTCTTGCTGTAATTACCCATAACTACCACAGAATAATCCTTTTTTTTAATTTTCTAAGGTGTTTTCGTTCACAATTCAGTTACTTATGGTTTTATCAAAATTTAAAAAATAGCTTTTCACACGATATACAGTACCGAGGGTTTATACATCTTATTACTTCAAATGTTTATATTGATAATAATATTGCCAGATTAAAAAATGTGAATGAGTTGTTTTGTGAGAGAGTCTGGAGAATAGAGTGTGGAGAGGAGAGATGAGAGAGAGTCTGGAGATTATAGAGAGTGGAGAGATAGAGAGATAGAGAGGAGAGATAGAGAGACTCTAGAGATATAGAGAGAGGAGAGATAGAAAGAGTCTAGAGATATAGAGAGAGGAGGGATAGAGAGGTCTAGAGATATAGAGAGAGGAGGGATAGAGACGGTCTAGAGATATAGAGAGAGGAGGGATAGAGACGGTCTAGAGATATAGAGAGAGGAGGGATAGAGACGGTCTAGAGATATAGAGAGTGGAGAGATATAGAGAGTCTAGAGATATAGAGAGAGTCTGGAGATATAGAGAGAGTCTGGAGATATAGATAGTGGAGAGATAGAGAGTCTGGAGATATAGAGAGTGGAGAGATAGAGAGAGTCGGGAAAGAGAAAGAGAGAAAATATGTAAATATAAATATATAGCATAAAAAGAAATGTATGTTTTTTTTAAATTTTGTTGTTTCCACACAGCATCCTCAGATTAAAAGAAAATAGAAACAAATATGTGACTGACCCATCAAAAGTTGTATCCTCATAATATCAGCTTGATGTTGCACAACTTCAACCGGTTTGTCAAATATACGTGTTACCCTGGTGGTTTCGATAATAACAATGTTTGGCACCAGTTCCAGAAGATGATCCCACCACTTTCCGTCCAGAATCTTTTCGGTGTGGACAAAAATGAAACCAGGCTTCAATATTCTGTAAGAACTAAGAATACTTAGTAAAAAAAAGAAAGTGAAATTTGTATTGCCCAAGAAGATATAATGGACAAGCTTTGGTACCGGAAGTCCATCCTGACAATATCTGCTCTCGGCTAAAATGTATAAACATTCGTGATTCTCGGGAAAGGATAAAAATCTACCACTTTTCTTCAAACATTCCTGTAGAGAATACTTGTGTGAAATTGCACGCGGCACATCTGTAACAAAAACAAAAAACAGACATATTTATAGCAAATGAAAAAGAAATTAACAGAATGACAGATATATATATATATATATATATATATATTATGTGGGTCAGTAATTTATCACAATAAAATTAGTATGTTTCGCCAATCGATGTTTGTAAAATTTTCAAAATCTACTCGTCTTTGTATGATAAATATCGTATGAAAAACACTTTCAGTTTCTCATATCTACTTTAATTAAAAATACTTGCAGTAACTTATTTCATCGTTTAATATTTTATTATGCAACACAGGGGTGTGCATCATATTGTAAATCTATATATATATATATAATTATTTATTCGAAAAATTATAACATAAATATGTTATATAATCACTATAAAAATAGCCATTTCGTTTCAACACTTCTGGTGTCTTATCAAGTGATGATGTTGAATGCATAATAAAGGGTTTTAAAAGGTTCAAATCAATCAAATCGCTAATGGAAACGACTCATTATGAACTAATTGCAATCAAAAAGACTATTAGCATAGTTAATTTTGAACTATAAACAAATAACAGAACAATGACCAAATGGATACATCATTTGAACTTTTGTTTCTTTCTTCCACAATGCATAAATATAGCGGGTGTGGCATATATATTTACCAATTATTTATCATATAAATTTTTCGTCTTATCCGGTATATGCGAGAGTAATGTAATATTTTAGGTATCATCATCCAGGTAATGTCCATAGATCTGGCTATTACGATAACTGCAAAGTTGGTACCTCTACTTGGTCGCATAAAAAACAGCATAGTTGATTAAAAAAGGCCCCAAACTCAGTAAAAACAAAGCTTTGTCATTAAAATGTTTATGTTATTATTAAGAGGAAAGACCAAAGTATTTGATATTATTTATTGAAATTTTTTACTACTTTGTAGCACGCTCGAAATTTTGGTTAAGAATCATTTTTTTTTTTTTACGTCGGCGGCGGACCAAAAATAAAGTTTTTTTTTTTGTTTTTTTGCTTTTTTCCGGTGAAAAGCACCTTAATTTGGAAATTCTTTCAAAAACCAAATAATTGTGGAATTTTAATGAAATTTTCAGGACGTATTCAGAAATAAATTACATTGTTCTTTAGAAAACTTTGGTAAAAATATTTTTTTTTTTTTTTACATATGTTACCACCCACTTCCTTGATTTCATGAAATTTCGAGTAATTAAAATTTTCGGCGGGGATTTTTTTTTTTTAGTTATAAGTAGGACTCCTTGAAGAAAGTAAATCATCAATGTTTTTTTTTTTTTTTGATAAAACAGTTGGCCCTCTGCTGTGAATTGTAAAATAAAAAATCCTATAAAACTATGACATTATTTAATTAGAAAAACTTTTAATTGCTTTGATAAATAAAACTTATTAAGGACACTATTGTTTTAAGAAGAACATTTTTTCGATGAATAATTAATCTTTACAAGAACTGTCTTCATTTTTTTAAATTTTAAATTTATTGCTTTCAAGGTGGCGATTTGGTGATATTGTTAAATGAAAATTAATTTTACGAATCAAAAATTGAAAAGCTCATAACAATCGTTTGAGCCAATATATTTCTAAGTAATTTTTAGTGTATAGTTCATTCCCAATTTCTACCTATGGGAAGCTATACACGACATAATCCTTAAAAAAGGTCGCGTGATTTCAGTTTCGTCTGACATTTTCCTTATTCAGTTCTGTTTCATCATTAATGTCTTTACAAATCATCCCTTCAAAATTTCAAAGTAAGTTTTAAGTTTAAAGTACTCTAAAAATTTAATAATAAAATAACCATCATGATAACAATTAATAATAAATAAAATACCGTAGAATTTCATAAATTATTAGATTTTTACTTCTATCATGGTATTTTATCTCGGTTAAATTAAATTTTAAAATTAATCTAAAAAAATTTTATATTATTTTAATTATTATTTTTTTGTAAAGCATCTTCAAACGTAACTAAAAGTCAATAAAATTATACATAATTGCTGAAAATATTATGTTAATTTGTAAAAATCACTAAAAATGCGTTCACTTAGATTTCGTAAATTTATGCCAAATTTGATCATCCATACTAGCTGTCATCACATCGTAACTTATCGGTGATGTCGATAACGTTAATACATGATCGAAAGAGGACCCGTTGTTAAGAAATAGTTTTATATTATATTTTATGCTATAATTAATATTTGTTTCAAATCAGATTAATTTATCTTTAAATTTGCTAATTTTACTCAAATAACGTTTCCCAAATATATATTTTATTTTTGGAAGATTTTAAAAATTGATATTTTTGTTTTATTTACAAATTTTTTAAAATTAAGAAAATGGCTGCTGTTAAAAAAATTTTCTTAAATCGGCCGAAAAATTGAGATTCTAATTTTTATAATTTTTATTTAAAATACACCAGAATATTATAATTACTGGAAACAGTCAATTTAATCAATTAAATTTTTTTTCAATTAAAGCTAAAATGAAATCTTCAAGAATGCTTTTTTTTTAATTTTTAAAAATTAATTTTTAACTATAGGTATCGAAAATTCAGCGAAGATCTTTACGCAAAAAAAAGGCTTTGATAGGGAAAACGTTCTCTAAAAAAAAACCAGATTTAATAATTCTTTGAAAAAGTTTTCATATCAAAACCTGCGGAATTCTACTCAAAATGCACTGAAGGGATGACTGTGAAGTGGCAACAAGTCATTGCAAAGAATGGTGAATATAGAATTGAATAAAATATCATTGAACTCTATTTTCTTAGAATAAAATTGTTCATCAAATACGGAAACTATTTATCCCCTAGCCTAATAATTAATTGCATAAATAACTATCATGATAACAATTAATAATAAATGATGTCAAATCTGATCCTCCATACTAGCTGTCATCACCTTGTAAGTTAATGGTGATGTCGAAAACGTTAATAAATACATGATCGAAAGATCATTGTTGTTAAGAAATGTTTTTATACTGTATTTTTATGCTATAATTAATGTTTGTTTCAAATCAGATTAATTTCACTTCAAATTTGCTAATCTAATAGCCTATATCTATAATTCTCAATGTGTGTGTGTCGGTGTGTTCGGACGTTGTTTATGCATTTCCAGTTTTTATCCGATTTTAATAAAATATTTTTTGTTTGATAGATAATTCTGCAGTGCCGGTTTTGAGTCCAAATTGTTAGCGACAATGGCTCTCCACTACTCCCTGTCCATTATAACTCTCAGAAACGTTTTATCTGTTTTTGGATATATATCTTCCCTAAAAACTTTAATAAAAATAGTTTAAATCGTTACAATAATATTATTTATCATTATACAGTTCTCTTTGCAGGGCCACCCCGCCCATTCAAATTGTTACCCCCCACTCAATTTGGGGTTGTTACTAATATTGATTTTCGTGTGGGCTGACTTTAAAATCAAATAGCTCCAATTGAACAGCAAAAATTTCCAGTAATGAAAGACCCGGGTCAAAAGGGCTTATACTGCTTGTGTATATATAAAATTCTGTGACTTTTGTTAATCCGTCCGTCACACCCTCTAAAATAGCCATAAATTGGCCGATCGAAACCAAAATTTCCAGGAGAAAATAAACCAAATTTCCAGGAGAAATACTCCCACTATTTTAAAAAAAATAATTTAATATTTAAAATAGAAAATAGTTATTTAATAAAAATGCAATAATGTTTTTCCATATGTTTCCTTTAAATTAAATCTTTATATATATTTCATTCTTGTGAAATATAATGCACCACAATAGCACTGTAAATATAAAATCAGTATGGAGAGTAGAGCTTGTAAATCTTGATGAAAATATTAGCGATTACTTCAACAATAAATACTTTGACGATTTCAAGACGCGCCAGACTGTTGCAAAAAAAAGTTAAAGTTGTTAAAATTTAATAAAAACTCATCAATATTTGAACGGGTAAAAAAGAAATATAAATAATTCAAGTAATTGCAAACAAGTAATTGATTTTGTTTCTTACTCCTTACTGCTGAAATATATCTGCGAAAGTAATAAGTCCAGCTAGTTAGATTTAAAATAATAGTGTCGTACCCTTTTTATGGAGATCTGTGTACCAAATGATGACAATACCAACAGTCAGCAATAACGGAACAAGGAAAACTCCTCATAATATTTGTCGTGTTCATTTTCCTGAAAGTAAAAAAATAGGCGTTGACAATTTGGGGTTCAATATAGTTTACTCATTCATGTTTCTAAGACAATAAAATTACATTCTGGGATGCAAAAAAGACGACCCAAGGCATTTTTTGAATGTTCTTATGACAAATGCATAAACTATAAACATGTCGAGAAGATTTCACACTGCAACAGACACCGAAACGAAATAGATTAACATCACCACGTGAAATATTTGGCCCACCAGAGAAAACTAAAAAAAAGCCTATTTTTATCGGGTCTGAATTCGGGAAAACATTCTTATAAAACCCCGCAGATTTTGACTTTCAAAGAGCAAAGATGCAGTTGTCTCCAAGCCGAATAGAAGACGTGGCTATATAGATTTTTCTTTCCCCTGTGTGAAAGAAATATGTGTCGGTAACTTCAAACGAATCATCACCAACAAAAATAGACATTTAGTGAATCTTCGCTACGGATAAACTTCTTTTAACTTTTCTCAACTCAAGACTTTTCTTTGCACCAGCTTTTCTAAACTACAGATTTTTTAATTTGTTAACCAACTACCTAAAGACTTGAATTCAATTTGAGATTATTTTACTCCTTTTTTTTTAACAGAAAACTATAAATATTTGCAAGCTTAACATCGACCTGTTCGTTTTTTTGGGTTTTTTTTTAATCTAAACTAGAGTAACCCTTCACGCAGATCATCCATGTACACCAAGTGTCGGCGAAGCCATGGCAGTTACAAGCTCAGGCGCTTGCCTGACTCATAGCAACTTCGCCTGAATATCGCCGGAGAGCTTAGAATTTATTGTTTAAAAAAATGATTTTGCTCTTATATTTATTTTGAATCGTCATGATTTTTGTTTTTTTCATGTACTCTATGATTATATTTTCATTTTCCTTTGGTCAAATTTCAAATTAAAAGTAAGTCCCTCCATTGATTCGATGAAAAACCAGCATGACGTAGAAAAAAGCACCAAACTCAATAAAAACTAAGTTTCATGGTCGAAATGTTTAGGTTATTATTATTAATAAGTTCAAAGTACATTTTTTTTTATTATTTTCTTAAATTTATTAATCCTTTCTAGCACGTTCGAAATTTTTTTTTTTTTTTTTGCATCAGCGATTGGCGTAATATTTACTTTTGGTGTTCTAGAGTTTTTTTGTTGTTTTTTTTCCGTAAAAACACATTGATTTGGAAATTCTTACAAAAATCAAATAATTATCAGTTTTTAATGTAATTTCAGAACTTATTCACAATTAAAAGAAATATTTTTTTTATATATTTTTTAGAAAATCTTGGTATTTTTTACATATGTTACCCTCCGCCAACAACACCACTCACGTAATTTCATGACATTTCAAGAAATTAAATTTTGATTACAAAATTTGTTTTAATAACTAAAAGCAGGTCTCCTTAGAGAATGTAAAATACATTTTTTTTCAAACTGCTACTCATTTCCCGAACATCTACTCCAAATCGTAAGATGAAAAATGCAATAAAACAGATATTATTTAATTAGGAATGTTTTTAATTGCTTTAATAACTAAGATTTATTAAGAACACTTTTGTCTTAAGAAAAAAAAATTAATGGATAATCAAATTTTACAAGAATTGTTTTCATATTTTTTAAATTTTAATTATAACTTATAATTTAAATATAAATCTTAAAATTCTGCATTACTTTGATTGCGTTAGATGATATTGCTATTAAGTGGAAAAAAACTATATTTACTAATCAAAAACTGAAAAACTTAATACAAATCATGACACCAAAATTTTAAAAATAATTTTAAATAATTTTTTTATTTATATGAACGTGCCCATTTTGAAAGTATACACAACATTATCAGAAAAAAGAGCGATGAATACAGTAAATTTAAAATAAAAAGATTCCTAAAATTAAATTACGGAGAATATTTTCCAACGTCTTTAAGATTCCTGGATATATAAAATTATATAAAAAGGCGCTCATGTCATTTTCTTAAATTATGTTATAGATAGATATATAGATAGATAGATCTGAACAAATATCGTCTTACTTTAAGTATAGTCCCATCCTGCAGAAATAAATTAAAATATTATTTGTAATTATTGTACGACTTTTCCCCTCATTTCACTATATTCATGCCGGGAAAATTTCTCAATATGATGTTTAATCGCTAAATGCGTAATGAAGCGACTCGCATTAAAACATTTCTTTTTAATCAGAAAAAAGACTTACCTTCTTTCTTTTCTTTATTAAAACTCAATAACGCAATTCACCACAAAACTGTTGCTTTCTCCAAACGTGCTGTGGGTCAGATGACAAACTACAAATATATGCTACTTTACATCGACCTGTTTGCTTGTAATCTTTCACGCATTTCTACAGCAAGTAGTGACGAAATCATGCCAGTTACAAGCTCGTGTGATTCCCTGTCTCATATCAATCTCGTTTGAACATCCACCAGGAACATCCGATTTTAATTTTTCACTTTTAATTCGAGTAGACTAGCCTTAAAAAACTAAAGCGTGTCTGGAGCTTATTCATTTCCTAATTAAAGAGGTAGGCCAGCAAATCAAGACTGAGAATGAAATCAGATTTCAAGGCAAAAAGAGGTTTCAAAGCAGAAGAGTGGCTATAAAGGAAGGTTTCAACTTTCAAAAGGGGTTAAATCTTTATACAAGATCTTAATATTTCTATCAAGACGAACTGACACCTTAACTTTATCCTGAAGGTAGACTGAGGACTCAGAAGAGAAATAAATTTTTGGCTAAGACTAATTCACAAAATGTTTGTTTATGTAACAGTTCGATAGAAAAAAAAAACTGTAAAACGTTCCCGTTCCTGATATTTCGAAAGTATCTAAACTAAAAATCTCAGGAAACTAAACTCAGTCAGTCAGTTATGTGCCATGTGTGATACACGCATAGACGATTATGTATCTTTTGATACATGACTGACGAGGCAGATTTTTTCCCGTAGTAGGTTGCCATTTCTTTCTGCAGTAGACCCAGGCTATATAACCCGGTCTGTCCTGCTATTTACCCATAGATGGAGGGAGAAGAGGAGGATTCATACCTTTCCCAAGGGTGTTAGCATGTAAGTGAATGTAATGGATTTGACTGGAATTCGAACTCGGCTCTCTGATTCCTCCTTCCGCTATCCATTACTCCATCGTGCCTCCCACAGAAATCATCACTAATTCGCCTAAAAAACAGTATATCATGATGAAAAAAGGTCCAAACTTAATAAAAACGAAGTTTTATCGTCAAAATGTTTATGTTTTAGTCTTTCCTCTTAATAATAAACATTTCGACGATAAAAAATGTTTTCAATAAGTTTGGTGCATTTTTTCGTCACGGTATGCTATTTTTTAGCGAATTAATAGTGAATGCTAATTTTAAAATTCTCTTTGTGCTGTGATAATCCTCTTTCGTTTTACTGTTAGGTGGGTGCATGAAAAAAAGCAGGAAAACACTTAGTACCACTGTTATAGTGATATCAAACCGATAGCAGTTCATTGTCTAACGTATTCATTCAAAACTAACGCCGATTGACTTTAACCATATAAAAAGTAAAGAAACTTCATTTAAAAGGAAGTTAAAATTAGATAGATAGATAGATAGATAGATAGATAGATAGATAATGAAATAGATAGATAGATAGATAGATAGATAGATAGATAGATAGATAGATAGATAGATAGATAGATAGATATGAACAATGGCAAATATCGTCTTATCTACTTATTAAAGGCAAGATTTACTCTGTACAAGACCCGAGAGTCACTCGATGTAGAAGGTGCTGTTTTGCAGATATTGTGCGAGAGATAATGTTAATTATTTTGATTTGTTTTACGGCATATCATTTCCTTATCACGTAATGCCGATTTTTCCCTTTTCTAAATAAAGCCTTGTATTTAAACAGTTTGAAAATTATTTTAGATAGTAAAACTGTTTGTTAAAATTGTAGCAGTTTATCAATATGCGTTTTATGGTGAATGGCTCTTGGCATGTTTTAATACACTAAACCCCCCCACCCCCGTGCAGGTAAATTATTAAATTAAAATTTAATGTTTAATTTTTTCACGATGTTTTTCTTTTTCCCATTTCATTATATTCATCACCAGAAAAGTTTTTAATAATCACAAAATAAAAGATGAAGCTACTCGTACTAAAACCAAATATATTCACTTTACATCAGAAAAAATAGGGTTATAATACTCTTTCTTTAAAATCTGACAAAACTGGGCCTGATTGGAAACTATAAATATTTTCTAGCATGACACTGATTTATTTTTTCTTTCGTTTGTAGGACTATTATTATTATTATTATAAATAAAAAGAAAATATAATAATAATAATAATAATAATAATAATAATAATAATAATAATCCTGTTGTAGTTGGAGACCTAGGACTAATTGGAAAAGATTGCAGTAGACTAATTGAAGGGATTCCTGGAAGTCCATGCCTCAAGGAAATACAAAAAATTGTTCTGACAAGTACAGCCCACACTTTACGAAGGGCTTTATCTATGTAATTTTTTTTTTTTTTTTTTGTCAGTGGAAAGTGTCATGACGCCATTTCTAACCTTAGGTCCCTGGGCGGGACCCTGAAAGAAATGTGTAAACGCCAGAAATCAAAGAAAATAAAAATAAAACTAAATTATAAATAAAATAAAATAAAACAATAACATAATAATGTTGTAAAAAATAAATTAAATAAGAATTAAAAATAATAAAAATACTCCCAGCATACATCAAAAACTGTTCCCGCCAAAAGACGTTAAATTCAAACTCTTCACCACGAACCTTAGTACGGGCAGTACATGTCCAACTTCTATCCGTGGTATGGTTTGTAATACTACGGAGTAATTTTGTCCTTTTTATCACGTGTACCATAAAACAATTGTAACTAAAAAATACACACACCAATACACACAAAAAATATAGATAAATTGTATGAAATGAACATAACATTTACCATGCTTTCCTGTTATTTCTGCACCTTTTATTTCCTGACAAGTATGCTTCTATCTCCGTGAACAAAAGACTAATTTCTGCTGCTACGATGTTAGTAAACACCCACAACATTATGATGACCGTCGACGTGTATAACCTATTTACCCACACTTTCTAAATTAGATAATTCAAACATATCACCAATTTATTGTACAACGTGAGTGGTTGCTATGTTATGAATGTAATATATTTACCCATTAATGTTTTTTGCTTTCATTCTTCATCGTTTTGTTAAAACTATATAAGGAGCGCTTAGGTACCTACAATAATTCGCTGAAAAAAGACCATACCGCAATGAAAAAAGTCCCAAACTTAATAAAAACAATATCTTATTGTCAAAATGTTTATATTATTATTAAGAGGAAAGAACAAATTATTTTCTAATTATTTTTTTAAATTCTTTAATCCTTTCTAACACGTTCGAAATTTTTGTTAAAAATCTTGTTTTTTATGCGTCAACGATGAAACAGCTTCAAATGGATATTTTCGCACCTGTTCTCCGGCAAAATAACACATTAATTTTGAAAGTCTTGCAAAAATCAAATAAATGTCAGATTTTAATGAAATTTTCAGGACTTATTCACAAATGAATGAATTTGTTCTTGGAATTATTATTTTGCGAAAATCTTGGTAATTTCTTTTTCTATCTGTTAACCCCAACTTACTTAATTTCATGAAATTTCTAGAAATTAAATTCGCCAGCCAAATGTTTTTTATTAGTTAAAAGCAGGACTCCGTGGAGAATGTAAATCATCATTTTTTTTTTCAAACTTTTACCAAATTCCCTAAAATCTGTTCCAAATCGTAAAATAAAAATTGCAATAAAACTATCTAATTATTTTATTAGATAAGCTTTTAATTGCTTTTACAAATAATGTATATTAAGAACATTATAGTCTGAAAAAGTTTTTTTTCAATGAATAAAGAATTTTTACAAGATTTGTTTGCATTTTTCTTTTTTTTAATTTTAATAATTTATAAAATTTTAAAAATGTTTTCAAAATTCATCAAAACATCGTCAAATTTATTCTATTAAGTTATTAAGTGAAGACTATATTTACTAAGTGAACATTGAACAAAATTTTTAAAAATAGTTTTTAAAAAAAATTGTGTGTCTACAATACATTGTCTTTTTTTTTTCGAATGTAAATTTTTCATGTAAATTTGAAATTTTATGTATTTTGTTGTTTCTACTAGGAAATTTAATTTGTTTTTGTACTAAGACAATTTTTTGTCCGGTGTCATACCATAAACTCTGTTTTGTTTTGTTTTTTTCGTTTTCAGCCCACTGGCCGAGTAGCGTTAACATGCTTTGAAAAAGTTGGTAGTTAGGCTTTTCTCTCTCTCTCTCTCTCTCTCTCTCTCTATCTATCTATCTATCTATCTATCTATATATCTATTATCTATCTATCTATCTCTAAATGAGAAAGAAGACGCACTGCCACAAACAACCCCGGTAAAAAGGAGAAGTGGTAGTATGAAACTTAATTCGCAGTTAAGTCACATACGTGATACACGCTTGGGCGAACGTGTATCTTTCGATGCATGACTGACAAGGTAGATTTTTTCCCGCAGTAGGTTGCCATTTCTTTCTACAGTAGACTGGTTGCCAACCAAGGCTAGCCTGTCCTGCTATTCAACCCATAGCTGTGGGGAGAAAAGATAGATTCCTATCTTTCCCAACGGTATTTTGTGCGCAAAGACTTGCCGACCGCAAATAGATGACACCACACTTTTTTTTTTTTTTAGAATGTATTTTTTCGTGTTAATTTAACATTTCTTATATTTTGTCGTTTCTACTATCAAATTAATTTGTTTTTACTAATTTTTGTACTAAGACAGTGTAAAGTTTGTTTTTTTTTCTCCCGTGTCTTACCATTTTCTCTGATTTTTTTTTATTTTCGTTTTCGGCCCACTGGTTAACACGCTCTGAAAAAGTCAGTATTCGGATTTAAGTTAAAACTTAATTGTTCCAAACTATAAAAAAATTATCTCACCCGCCTGCAGGTATGCCTTCATTCACCGTTCTCTATAATGATGTATATGGAAGTTAAACCCGGATTTGTTGTTGTTGTTGTTTAATAGGAGGAGATAGGTTCCCCTATTGCCCGGTTCATACTGCCCCCTCTCTTAGACAGCAGCAGATACCCACCCCTTGTTTCCTGTGTAGGATGGAGTTTTTCGGTTTCTTTCCTCTTCTCAGGCCTTAGCAGTGATGCTAACATGAATTTCTTGTGATGTGTATGGTTAGTGGCAACGTGTTTTCATACTGAAGGTACCGGGTTGGCAGTTTTCTGGGTGCTGTTCCCGACTGATAGGGGCCCGAACTCTTGAGTAGCGTCTTGTGAGGCTGTCATGATCAACAGTTGCATAATATCAGGGGTTCTTTTAGTGCCATGTCGCGTATGGAAGGTGTCCTGCAGGTAGCTCGGTGGGCAACGCAGAGGCCACACTATGTTGAAGTCTGCGCCATTTCCCTTCTTTATATGTCACATCAAATGACCGGCTGCTATTACTATCTTAGGACCTTCTCCTTACCAATATAACACATCATGACTATAAACAACCAAATATATAAACCTAAACCAGATCAACAAAATCACCTAAACCCCTTAACTTTTCCATCTCCAACATTCAAAGAATTCGTACCAACTTCTGCTGTATAGAATCGTTCCTTTTCAAAAAGTTAACGGACATTCTAGCTCTCTGTGAGACTAATTTCAACTCTTCTATCCATTCCTTTGGTTTCTCGGTTCCTGGTTACCTTTCTCTACTTATAAAAGATTCGAAAGTCCACATGCATAGTCTGGGAGTTTATATCTGCGTACATCTCCCGCTAGCTATGGAACCCTCTCTTAAATCTCTAAACCACTCCGTCTCTCTCAACTTATCTCAGTCAGCTATTTTTTCTTTCTTTACCATTTCCCTTCCTCTCAAGACTGTTGCGTGTTAGATAGTATTTCCGATAATATAGACAACGGCCTTCTCCTTACACCCGTTTGCAAGACATATCTGTGTTCGGAGACTTTAACGCCCACCATACCAAGTGGCTTAAACACTCTGCCACTGACCTCGCTGGTCTCCAAACCATTAACTTCTCAATCTCTCACGCAAGTGGTTGACTTCCTCATACGGTTCCCCAGTAACCATGACAGAAACGCCCCTCTTCTTGATCTCTTGTTTACCTCCATCCTTGACTCTTGTACTACGCGGAACTTCCCTCTTGGCAATTCTGATCATGCTTTAGTATCTGTAAACATCCCCTTCTCCTCCTCCCCATGTCATAACCCGCCTACCAACTAAATATCTTTCTGCTATCAACGAGCAGATTGGGTCTCGTTCCGTGATTTTCTTCGAGACGTTCCTTGCAATGTGATTTTTAATCACCCAATTCAGAAATGCGCAGCTGAGGTCTCCTCCTGAGTGAAAACCGGCATTGATGACTTTATTCCAGCTCGGAAATACCAAGTTAAACCGCGTTCATCTCCTTTGTTATCTCCTGCTTCCTCGCCTGCTATAGTCCACAGGAATCACTTTTTCCGACTATACCAGGGCGGCAAGTCCGATTGCAATAGATTGTCACTGCTAAGAATGAAGGCAAGCGTGTCCTCAATGTTTGCTTTCACCCACAATTTTGCTGAAATCTGTCGATATCAAGCGCTTTCTATCAGTTCTGATCTTGACCTTCAGCTGATGCTGAAAGAATCCGACCAGAGCCTGATAAGAATAGCATTTGTATCGCAAGATTCCATCTATTCGTGCCGTCCAGATCACCATTCTTGCCACGGCTAACAGCGTCAGAAACATGATTCGTTTCTCCCCATAATACGGGACGACACATTATCGAACATGTATGCGAGATCGATAAACACGAACCGATCGGGAGCGATATGAGCCGCCGACTCAGTTGGCTTTATTCAACATAGTTATTTATTGCTTCAATTGAAATAATTGCGGTACAAGGCCAAACAACTGAAAGCCAACAATGAATAAGAATCCCAATCATCATCTCAACGAATAAAAACCTAAATTCCTACATCTACACTGCCAAGGGGAGTTCCGCAGTGTCCAAAACAACTGGTGGAGAAACCT